GAGATGGAACTGGAGCTGGGTGTGCAGCTGGGCGGGGTGCCCTCAGTGCGGGCCCCTCAGCACTCCCTCCTGGTGATGGAGGCGTGTGCCCTGCTGGCCCCAGCTCCTATCAGCAGAAACACTTCGTCACGTTGACACCGATACGCTAAATGAATAAGTGCAGAGCATGGCAAGGTCACCGGGAAGTTAACTGGCGGGACTACAAGGGGCAGTAGACACACTTCAGCAGGGAGGGCCCTGAGAGGTGTGGCAAGCAGGACAGGGCGCTCAGGCCCGTGCCCCTCGGTGCCCTTCAATGGGTGGCCTCGGTGGTGCCCTTGGTGGTGCCCTCAGTGGGTGCCCCACAGTGTACCCAGGAGGCCCTGACAGCTGACTTCTAAACAATTAAATATGAAACTGTCAACAGGGCCTTGTCTTAATAACCAAACTTGAGGCCTTTTATCCCGGAAGATTTATGAAGTAATTTTAAAGAGATCCAAGCAAACATCTGTCAATAAATTGAATGCTGGCTACAGGATTTACAAGCAAGACAAGACTTTCTCATTAAGTGCACATTAACACGGAGGGATCACGGGTGGGAGGAGGCGCATGCCGCCTCTCAGGCTGCCGCTAGAGCACCACCTAACACCTAATGAGGAGGGGACGGGAGGCCTGAGATGCCCCGGGCTCCCGGCCTTCGTCAGGCTGACCGGCTGGGCCGAGCAAGGCTGGATGCTGGCCAGACCCACCTGAGGACCTCACCCGCTGTCTGCTGGGAGCCACAGGCCTCCCGCCCGCACGGGACCTGGGAGGCACCCACGAGGTTCACTGCGCTAACCTCCCCAGTGTAATGAGGTCCCTGACCCCCATGACGGGTAACTTCGGAGGGTCCCAAACGTGTGCTCACAGGTACTTCCACACCACCCATTTCACGTAGGACGTGGTGCTAAATGACATCTCCACGGGGTCTGGGGAAGCTCTGGGCACTTCTCTTTGGCTGAAACGTGCCTTTGATAAGACGTGCAGAGAGATAAGACCTCATCACTCACAGTTACACGTGGCAAAGAGGGGATTTAGAAAAGATCCTGAGGGGCCAGGGGTTCCATACCCCCCTCTCAGCTCACCCCTTCCTCAGGCCCAGACTTCCAAGCATCTCTGCACCCAGCACGGTCAGGGCCACCCGCAGCAGATGCTCAGGGGTTAATGTGGCTGGAAACGTGCAGAGGGAAGCTAGTTTGGGTTGTGAGGGGAGACAATTCTAGCTGGGTGCCTGGCGAAGCCAGAAGTGCAGCTGGATGTCAGAATGAGGAGTTAAACCAGGAAGCCCCTGACTTGGTGGCTGAGGTCAAAGCCACTCTTTACCTTTGGTTTTCTTCATAAAACTCATATTGTAATCTATTATTAAGATATTGTAATATAGCATCGTCTATGGAATATTATACCATATATGTATGTGCTTGTATATTTCCCCTTATCTTTGTCTGTCTCTCCACCTGAATCAACTCTTTATGAGGAAGAGCTGTTTCTGTCTGTCAGTGTCCCGGAGCCTAGAGCACACCTGGCATGGCCCTGTCCAGACCTGGCTCCTAACTGTCACGTCTGAGCAGGGCCATGCACAATCAGGCGACTCAGTAAATATTGACTGAATAAATGAAGGAACAAATGAGTGAATAACTCAGAACCCTGCGATCCAACTAGGCTGAAAAATGGCCAAGTCAAATGTACCCACTTGTGTGAAAATCCAAAGCATGACAGTAGATACTTTTTGTAGCAAGGCTCCTATAAGGATAAAATGCTGAGAAAAAATGCAAAAAACAACTATAGCCACAACAACAGAACCACCAAATCACCAACTCCTGAGGGCATCTATAGCCAATAGGTAGGGTTTAGTGTGAATCACAAGAAATAGTCAAGTGGGTTAAGGATTGGACATAAAATTATCAAAGCAACCAGAGAAAGCGGCCCGCTTTCTGCACATGACACGTGTCG